ACTGATTGTAAATCTCTGATGGATCTTCTAGGTGTGCAAACGTTAGGGGAAGAGTACGTCAAGTTATTCGAGATCCAATCGAATCGCCGTGTTCCATCATTCGGAGCAAGGTTATTGTTTGTTTTTCTCCACGCCATCGCTCCTATCTTGTCACAGTTGGCATTGCAGGTAAACCCCAATCGATAGTTAATCTTATGCTCTTGATCTTTTATTCACAAAATATCTGAGGGGCATGATAGTTATAGAGAGCAGAACGCCTCTTGGTTCATCCTTCTACTTCCCACTTCATGGGTGTTCCGCTGAGGAACAATGAAAAAGCAAGGAGAAGTTTTCTGAGTTTGATCGAGTGGATAAGGTCTGTGTCTTAACTCAGTCCCGTATAATCTCCGTTATTCGAAAATCACAGGAAAATACCACGGAAATAAGTGAATAACATTTTGCTCCAGATCCATCGGAATACCTCAGTTACATCGCGTTCATGTAGCTTTTTTCTATATTTTTGGCGTGTACTACAACGTATCTCGTAGAGTTGCAGGAATTCAGTATCGATCGCTTAGCCCACAAACAGACATCAAGGTGTTCTGAATGTTTTCCGTGCATCGATACATGCAGAAATATGATTCATTCAGGCGCTGAAAATCTACAGATTTCTTGGTTATTTAACTCTTGCCCAAACCGTACTAAGTCTCATTTTATGGGTAGTCCCTGTTATGAGGGAAAACGGTAACAAACCACGATATATGCAGAAATGTCATTCAGGAAAAGCGGAAAAGGAGGAAGTGCTTGAAATGGATGACGATGTTAGCGTATGAACCGTTCAATGCGAAGTTGGTTGATGACTTTTCTTTTAATAAGTTGTGCTTCAGTTTCCTCATTCATGGTTCCGATGCTCCGTTTGCCTAGAGCAACGATCCCCATCTACTACTTCCTGTGGCCATCTTTTCTGTTGGAGGTGCATACAGGTAGGGAGTTGCTATTATGATGTTACGGTTCAAATTTCCTTTCACATAGAATGCTGTAACTTGAGTGGAAGTTATAATATATATATATATATATATATATAT